AACGGTTCCATTTAGGATAGAGGTTCAATTCCTGTCGAAGGACAAATATTTTCATTGAAAATTTCTCGGACATTCAGGCCGGTAAATTTTATTAATACTGTTTATTATAAACAGAGCATTTACCTAAATATTTGATCTATAAAAAAGAATGTATAAACATAAAAATTTCTTAAAATAATTGTCGGACTTTGTCCATTTCATAACACACACACACACACACACACATATATATATATATATATATATGTATATATATGTATATATGTTGTTATGAAATAGATTACGTCCGGCATTTATTTTATATATTTTCTGTTTATACTTTATATTTTTTATTTTTATAGATGGAATTTTTTTAAGTAAATGACCTGTTTTTTAATTAAACATAATTAATTATATTTACTGGCTTTAATGTTCAAGAAATATGCGCTCTCCAACAGGAATGGAATCTGTATCTTTGGGGGGAAGCGTCATTTGACCTGCAATGAACAGGTTCGATTCCTGTCGGAGAGGAACTGACAAGAGTGATAAAGTTCGTTGTTTTTACTGCATCCATCGAAGTGTCCCGAGATATTTCCTTCATATTATCACCTGTTTCGGCCCCTGAAGCGAAATTTATCTTACCGTGTGTGCTCTTATGGTGGCCTTGTGCAAGACAGAACTAATATTCGATGCAAAGAAATTATTCGCAGGTGCCACCCTGTCTTTTGCCGTTTGTTATTTAATAATGTACTATTCAATATTACCCAAACTATAGGAGTCCGGTTCACACACCTCCCCGATTAGGGGGTTATTCTTTTTTCCTTGTTTATGACTGGATTTTCGTTTCCTTCTGAAGACGTCTCTTTACGTCTTTTTTGCAGTGGTATTGATCCTGCACGAGGCGTCAGGACCACTTCGAGGTCGATGGTTACTGAGTAAGAGGCACAAATTAAGTGTGAAAACTAACGGTTAACCCGAGACTTGACCTAGTTATAATTATAGTGATCGAGGAAGCAACCTCTGGGAGTTGATTTCTACAAGGCAGTGGTTTGTAGGAAGAAGCTGCTTGAGGGGAACTTACATCTCACCCGGGGAATACGAAGAGAATGTTTGCTAGAATGTGCGTGAACTGTGAAAGACATAGCTGTGAAATCACTGGTGGAACTAAGGAATGTAGTTCCTCTGAACACTCTCAATGAAAATAGCAATAGTGCAGCCAGAGGCTTGTGGCGTTCTCTCTGTGAGAAAAAAGGGGTTGCAGAACGGAAAATAATCCTTCGCCTATAAGGAGGTGGAGACCTTTTTGAACTCACTTTCACTTAGATAAAGGAGAAAAAATGAAGCCTTGGCATCTCCCACCCATATACTGCGGAAGTGCTCTATTTTCGGTCGGATCTGGCTTTTGTAAAGGATATCAGTAGGAGTGAAGTACTTTCTGGAGCTGTGAAGATAACCGACTATTTTCGCAGCATCTTTAGCGATGGATTATATACCAAAGTGTTCCACTTGACGTTTGGGTTGAGTTTAGGTCCCAGTAGACGCTCAAGGCACGACACCTACTTCAGGGAACATCCGTTCATCACGATTGGTGAAAATTCCGTGTCCGATCGACGATGTTGCAAAATCAGTAGATTGGCTTTTGAGGCATTGAATGTGACCAGCCATTTCTACCCCCACTGAGCTATTAGAGCTACGCCATAGGAGAAATCAGCAGCCATGCATTCGTCATTCAGGGGGTGTCCACATTCTTGGTTGCTTGGATTTATAGGGAAACAAAAGGCGCTTATCTCTTTTTGGTGGAAATATGTCACGTATTCACATGACGACCGCTTCGTGACGTCACTCCATACAATGACCCAAAGCAGCAGTCATTTTTTTAGTTTATGAACAGCAACCAAACGCGAAGGTTGCTTCCTGTAAGCCTGGGACAAAAGGCCCAGGTTGTCGCTAAATCTACCCCCTCCCCAACAGCTTACAAACATATAATGCCGTTTGACTTTGGGACATAGATCAATCCGGCCCAGTTAAATCTGGATTCCTAAAAATGTCTTCTCCAGGTTAGGTGTATCTCAAAATTATATGTGAGACATTTCCTTTTTGTTCTTCCTTATACTTTGCATTGCGATGTAGATATATGTGAAAAATGTGTATATATAATTTTGTGTATTATAAAAGTCCCTCTGAGAATAAAGTATGTTTGTCATTCTGTTTCCTTCCAGTCATTCCGTCTGCTCCGTGAGCTTCGGTGTTGCTGTATCATAGATATAACAATGCTCGTAACGGAAGAAATGTAAAAGGGAGAAAAAAAAACTTTCTTCCAATCGTTCTCGTTACAAGACCTTTTCCAGGGCCATTGATGTAAAAGTGATATAAGCAATCTCAATCGAAAGTTGGAATCGCTGTATCGGGTTGATTAACTGACCTTGCTGTTCATTTAAAAAAAATCTATTGAAAAATATTGCGGTGGAAATATCCTAAATCATTCGTGTAATCATGGTAAAAATAATTACTTGCATTATTTACATTATTCAGACTGTTATCCTCATCTTCATTGTCATATTCAAAACGGTTTGGCCGTTCTACACACACACACACACACACACATATATATATATATATATATATATATATATATATATGTGTATGTGTGTGTGTGTGTGTGTGTGTGTGTGAAAAAGGTAAAACAAAAACGTTTCCCTTTGGGACATAGATGAGTCCGGCCCGTTTAAATCTGGAATCCTAAAAATGTTTTCTCCAGGTTAGGAGTATCTCCAAATTATATGTAAGACCTTTCCTTTTTGGTCCTCCTTATACTTCGCTATGTAGATATATGTTATATATAGTTATCGACGTGAAACATGTGTATATATAGTTTTGTGTATGTCTTAGTATAATAAAAGTCCCTCTGAGAATAAAGTATGTTTGTCATTCTGTTTCCTTTCAGTCATTCCGTCTGGACCGTGAGCTTCGGTGTTGCTGTATCATAGATATAACAATGCCTATAACGGGAGAAATGTAAATAGAAGAATTGATCTTTCTTCCAATCGTTCTCATTAAAAGACCTTTCTTAGGGCCACTCATGTAAAAGTGATATAAGAAATCTCAAACGAAGGTTGGATTCGCTGTATCGAGTTGATTAATTAACCTCGCTGTTCATTTTAAAACAAATCTATTGAAAAATATTGCGGTGAAAATATCCTAAATCATTTGTGTAATCATGGTAAAAACGATTACTTGCATTATTTACATTATTCAGACTGTTATCCTCATCTTCATTGTCATATTCACAATCTTCAGGTGATTGGAATTTCGAACCAAATCCTTTAAGGCTGTACCGTCCGAGAAAGCATCAACACCGGAATCTGTATCATAAAGTAACGGTTCCTGGTGAAAAAAGATCTTTGACTGAAATTTCTTCATTACAATTGAAAGACGGTGGAAGCGAGGGTGTTTTGACTCCGTGGATGCATAAGCTTAGGAAATATTGCTATAGACTGTAACAATTGACTTAAATGGCCCTTTTTCAAATGCGTCGTATTGTTATAAACATTCTGATTGGTTGTTTCACTACAGGAAGCTTATTTTGAAAAAAAAAAGAAATACAGAAACCCATTTTTATTTCTGCTTTTTCAATGATTATATTTGCTTTTCATCTTTAACGAGTTCTCAAGAACTGGTTTCTTATGCTTCGATCTGTTTCATGTTTCTAGCATCCGGATTCCCAATCGGCCATTTACTCTGTCTATTCATTTGTTTTTAACTTTTAATATTGTTAGAGATCATTGCTGATAGCGCCTTCATTTTTTGTTGTTATTTTTCTTATGCATCACAATTGATCTATTTTACGATTTCAATATTATTGTTACTTCAAGTTTTTTTAACGACTTTCTGATCATTTTTCTTACTTTCTTACCTTTTCGCCATTATATCTTCTTCAATTATCATTTCTTCTGATTTTTTCTCGTAGACAATCTTTAAGTTTTCTTACATTTCTCGTTCTTTCTTTCTTTCTTTCTTTTATATTGATTCTTTCGTTCTTTAAATTTTGTTGAAATTAATTTATACTTGTCTTTCTCTCTCTCTCTCTTTCTTTCTTTCTTTCTTTCTTCTTTTCATTTCGTATTATTTTTATTCTTTCTTTTGCTGCTGTTTTTTTTCTTTTCCCACTTGCATTTTATTCTTCCTTTTCTAGTTTTTCCCATTCTATCACTTTCTTTTCTGTTGATCATTCATATTTTTCGTTTGAGTTTCTTTACTTGTCTAAGGTTTGCCTTCTTTCTTTCTTTCTTTCTTTCTTTCTTTCTTTCTTTCTTTTTGTTTGTTTTTTTTCTTTTGTTTGTTTCTTTCTTTCTTCTTTTCATTTCGTATTATTTTTATTCTTTTTTGTTGCTTTCCTTTTCCCTCGCTTTCTTTGTTATTCTTTCTTTTGAGTTTCTTCTATTCTACTACTTTCTTTTCTATTGATCATTCTTTCTTTCTTTCTTTTCGTTTTCTTCTTCTTTAACTTCACTAATATGGCGTTTTTCTTTCTTCCTTCCTTTCTTTCTTTCTTTCTTTCTTTCATTTTCTCTTTCTTTCTTTTCGTTTTCTTCTTCTTTAACTTCACTAATATGGCGTTTTTCTTTCTTTCTTTCTTTTCTTTCTTTCTTTCTTTTCTTTCTTTCTTTCATTTTTCTTTCTTTCTTTTCGTTTTCTTCTTCTTTAACTTCACTAATATGGCGTTTTTCTTTCTTCCTTCCTTTCTTTTTTTTTCTTTTCTTTCTTTCTTTTCATTTTCTCTTTCTTTCTTTTCGTTTTCTTCTTCTTTAACTTCACTAATATGGCGTTTTTCTTTCTTCCTTCCTTTCTTTCTTTCTTTCTTTCTTTCTTTCTTTCATTTTCTCTTTCTTTCTTTTCGTTTTCTTCTTCTTTAACTTCACTAATATGGCGTTTTTTTCTTTCTTCCTTCCTTTCTTTCTTTCTTTCTTTCTTTCATTTTCTCTTTCTTTCTTTTCGTTTTCTTCTTCTTTAACTTCACTAATATGGCGTTTTTCTTTCTTCCTTCCTTTCTTTCTTTCTTTCTTTCTTTCTTTCTTTCATTTTCTCTTTCTTTCTTTTCGTTTTCTTCTTCTTTAACTTCACTAATATGGCGTTTTTTTCTTTTTCCTTCCTTTCTTTTTCTTTCTTTGTTTTTTCTTTCTTTCTTTTCGTTGTCTTTTCTTTCTTTTCGTTTTCTTCTTCTTTACACTTCTTTCGTCTTTCACTATAATATTTATATAAGTTTATCGTTTTTCTTTCTTCCTTCCTTTCTTTTTCTTTCTTTCTTTCTTTCTTTCTTTTTCATTTTCTCTTTCTTTCGTTTTTTCGTTTTTTTCTTCTTTTTCGTTCGTTTTAATATGGCGTTTTTTCTTTTTTTTATTCCTTCATTTTCTTTTATTTTCCTTTCTTTCTTTTTTTTTTATTTCTTTCTTTCTTTTTTCGTTTTCTTCTTCTTTAACTTCACTAATATGGCTTTTTTTCTTTCTTTCTTCCTTTCTTTCGTTTTCTTTATAATATTTTTATAAGTTTTCAGTACTTTTCTTTTTTTTTTCATTTTCTTTCTTTCTTTCTTTTTTTCGTTTTTTTCTTCTTTTAACTTCTTTAATAATATGGCGTTTTTTTTTTCCTTCCTTCCTTTCTTTTCTTTCTTTCTTTCTTTCATTTTCTCTTTCTTTCTTTTCGTTTTCTTCTTCTTTAACTTCACTAATATGGCGTTTTTTTTCTTTCTTCCTTTCTTTCTTTCTTTCTTTCTTTTTTTCTTTCTTTCTTTTTTCGTTTTTCTCTTTTCTTTCTTTTCGTTTTCTTCTTCTTTAACTTCATTTATATGGCGTTTTTCTTTCTTTTCTTCCTTTTCTTTATTTTTCTTTTCTTTCTTTCTTTTTTCTCTTTCTTTCTTTTCGTTTTCTTCTTCTTTAACGTCACTAATATGGCGTTTTTTTTCTTCTTCTTCCTTTTCTTTCGTTTTTCTTTATTTTTAAGTTTTCTTTTTTTCATCTTTTCTCATTTTCTTTCTTTTCGTTTTCTTTCTTCTTTCTTTCTTTAATATGGCTTTTTTTTTTTTTCTTCCTTCTTTCTTTCTTTCTTTCTTTGTTTTCTTTTCTTTTCATTACACTTTTTTCTTTTCGTTTTTCTTCTTATTTTTAACTTCACTAATTGGCTTTTTTTCTTTTCATTCCTTCCTTTTTTTTTTTCTTTCTTTCTTTTTTTTTTTTCTTTCTTTCTTTTCTTTTTTCTTCTTCTTTAACGTCACTAATATGGCGTTTTTTCTTTCTTCATTCCTTTCTTTTCTTTCGTTTTCTTTCTTAAGTTTATCAGTCTTTATCTTTCTTTTGAGTTTTTTCTTCTTCCTTTATTTTTCCTTTAATATTTTTTTTTCTTTTTTTTTCCTTCCTTTTTTTTCTTTCTTTTTTTCTTTATGGCGTTTTTTCTTTCTTTCATTTTCTTTTTCTTCTTTCTTTAACTTCACTAAGTTTATGGCTTTTTTTTTCTTTTTCTTCCTTCCTTTTCCTTTATTTTTCTTTTTTCTTTGTTTTTTTTTTCTTTTTCTTTTCGTTGTCTTCTTCTTTAACGTCACTAATATGGCGTTTTTCTTTCTTTCTTCATTACACTTCTTTCGTCTTTCGTTTTGCTATAATATTTATATAAGTTTATCAGTACTTTTCTTTATCTTTCTCGCTGAGCATTCCTTCGTCCTTTATTTTTCCTTTCTTTCTTTCTTTCTTTCTTTTTATTTCTTTCTTTCTTTTCGTTGTCTTTAACTTCACGAATATAATGTCGTTCTTTCTTTTTTCTTTGTCTTCTTCTTTAACTTCACTAATATTGCGTCTTTCTTTCTTTCTTTCTTTCTTTTTTCATTACGCTTCTTTCGTCTTTCGTTTTGCTATAATATTTATATAAGTTTATCAGTACTTTTCTTTTTCGTTCTCTTTGAGCATTCCTTCGTCCTTTATTCTTTCTTTCTTTTTCATTTCCATCCTCTTATTTTTTTAGTCTTTCTCTTTTGCTCTTTCATACCCTCTCATTATCTTTCTTTCTCATAATATATTTTATAGAGATTAATTATCTTTAAAATATCTTTTTCTTCTCATTTCTTTGGTACCCCCTCTCTCTTTCTCTCACCGCCCCCTATTCTCTCTTTCCCAACATTCACTTTCTCCACATCCTTCCCCCCACCCCTACCCTCACACATCATCATGTGCCACCTTCTTCCCATCCCTTCCCTTCTGATTTGCCGATATGTCAGACCGCGCTGAATAGCCTGGGGTAGAAGAAGTTGAGTGCCAGATTCGATCCGTGAACGATATGATTAGGCCTGATTAATAATGTACGAATACGCACAGCAAGGTCATGTATTTGCCCGGGTGAAAAAAGAGAGAGAGAGAGAGAGAGAGAGAGAGAGATGGAATAAAGAGTGGGTGAGAGAGAAAAGAGCTGATAAAATGCAACTAGATACATAGCCATCTAGACTGATAGACATATAGTCAGCTGCTTGATTTTCTAGACAGAAAATGATGATGACAAGGTGATTACATTACAAAGACAAGAGACTCTTTATTTTTCAACACCCACGCACACAGACAGACAGACAGATACACACAAGCATATATTCTTATTTATTCACGTACGTATCTTTATGAATAATTTCATACATATTTCTACAACCTCATATATATATATATATATATATATATATATACGTGTGTGTGTGTGTGTAATCGAGGAACAGCATAATAAAAAATATCCAAATAATGAACAGTTTTTGTCACGAAATTAAAACAAATATATGAATTTTAGAACGGCTCATGATCAAACATAATAGACGTCCGTTGTCTGCTATATTTAACAATATATGTTTGAATATATATATATATATATATATATATATATATATATATATATATATATATATAACCCTATGTCCACTATCGGACAATACCGTAAAAACATTTTTAAGTAAGTTTTTCATAGGCTTTAAATAAAGTTCTTTTAATGATTTTCAGAATTTATATATATATATATATATATATAGTTTTAGGGTGTGCTATATTTATCGGATAAAGTGTCAATATAAAAGATAGAGCCTGTGTAAATATAAATATAATAGTGAATATTGAAATCAACACTCAGCGGTGACAGTGTGTTTCATGTTGGATGCAATCTTCAGGCGGCCTGACGATTGAGTCTCGCATGAAACAACCTGTCGCCTCTGAGTGTTGACTTAAATTGCCATTTATATATATATATATATATATATATATATATATATATGTTCATTTATAAATATATTATTAGTTTATTTATTTTTGTTTTTTGTAATATATATATATATATATTTATAAATGAACATATATATATATATATATATATATATATATATATATATATATATATATGTGTGTGTGTGTGTGTATGTACATATATATATTGACTTCAGCTGCGGCATCCAAGTGATTTCGGACACTCCTGCATCATGTCTACACGGTCTCAATGTTTAAGTTGGTGAATACTGCCATAATCATTGACTTCAGTTCATCTTTTGTCTTACAAAGTGTTTTCTAGGTCTTTCACTCAACTGCGCCCCACACATAATATATGATACCAACAGTTTATACATGATAAATTGATGGTCGCTGATTTGAGTCTTTTACGAACAGTCTGAAACAAGATTCGCAATAAACTCCACCGACCAAATACCTACCCACACAAACCATTTGAGCATTGTAAAAAGGCTTCGCATATAAAGGGTGCGATGGATGAATTGTCTAAATTACTGAAAAATGAAAATATCACTGCCGACTCATTTTCACGGATATATTTACCAAAATGGCACAAAAACATCTTCAAATGCTAAAAAGTAAATTTATTCAATAAAATCGCCATTGGCTTTAACCACGCCTCCAGACGAGTTCGGAATCAGTGTGCCGTTTCCAAGATTCTGTTGGAGTAAATTGCATCATGGTGCTCTTTTTTTCCCCACAGATATTTCCCAACTGAACTACTCTACTGCACAGTCAAGAAAATCAAAAAAAACAACGCGCATGCGCGAAATTAAAAATATAAAATGGCGGCAATTTTCTCATCGTACCCTATATATATATATATATATATATATATATATATATATATATATCAGTGGCGACTCTAGATCATCAATATTTGTTGGGCTCATTAAAATCTTTAGCAAAATATGCTATTGGTATAACTTAGTTGCTAAAATGATTACTTTAGTTTAACTAAAATACATAATTTTTAAAAATCTCTGTGCATCAAATAAACATTTTTTCAAAAACATTTCCAGGTATGTATGAAAAGCGTGAAGACAAAACCAGATATTTTTTTTTGTTATTTTTTTAAATAACGTGTGTATCCGTCTCGTGTGTATTTTTGTATATATGTCTATGCGTTAGGCTGTTTAAGCATCTCTGGCTGTGTGTTTATGCATCTGTCTTTAAATGTTATTGCATGTTTATGATCAGTACTGCTCACTGATATAATGATCATGTTTCTTCAACACTACCCCAGTCACAATCCTCAACCCAACCCTCCATTTTCGCCGAATTTAAGGTCAGGCAAAATTTAATTTCCCCTTTTTCAAAACATATTTACGCTAAAAAGCGCTTATAGTGTTCGGAAGAAATTATTTAACATGAACATTAAGAAATAAATGAGTTGAAATAAAAAACGTGAGCATATAAGTCATACAAGAGCATACAAATTAGAGATTTTTTAAAAGATTATTTATAAATTAAAGCAAGAAATACATTGCTTATTAATTATGACTCCAGCTTCGATTAGGCTCAGACCTACTCAGCCCGATTAGCAACGTTAATTTTATTTCATTCATTTTTTTACTTCTTTCTTTCTTCTTTCTTTTTTCTTTACAATTGAACAATATCAACGCATTTCGGTCAATGTTTTGAGTCGCAGAGTTAAAACAACTAATTTTGGATCCAGCTGAAGTCAAGAATGAAAACGACGCACTACGAAAAATTATTTTGCTTTATATATATATATATATATATATATATATATATATATATATATATATATATATATATATATCTTCAAATGAAGACTCACTTGCGCTAATCCGGACAAACCTTACCCCCGGTGTCTTCACTCCACACACACACACACACACACATATATATATATATATATATATATATATATATATATATATATATATATATTGATTTTTTTAATATGTATCCATTGCAAGACAGAAATTACTATGTTTCAAATCCGAAACTAAACGTCTAAAATTAAAATTAAAATTTTAAGTTTGGTCCCATTTTCAAGAGATGAATAACCTCCGAAAACCCGATTTTAAAAGTCAAACAGTGCTATTCATTTTAAGTTGATTGGGGAATGGTAAATCAGATTTTTTAAATTTTTTAGTAAAGATACATATTTGATAACAATGATTATAATATTATGCTCCATTGTGTATCGAACACTGCATTTTTTAAAATAAATTTTAATGAATTCGGGATTATAAATCTGAATGTTCTTTCCTATAATATATATATATATATATATATATATATATATATATATATATATATATATATATATAAACAGTGTAACGGATATAAGAGAGTTTTCAGGACCGGAGAAGAAGTCCCTTATATCCGGGTTTCTCTTATATCCAGGTTTGGTCTATTTTATATACATTAACACAGGCTCTAGTTTGGGACCAGAGAAAATCTCTCTTATATCCGGGTTTCTCTTATATCCGGGTTACACTGTATTTATATATTATGAATGGAAATATTCTTTTGAAAAACAACAGTTGGCTCAACTTGTAATATAACAAATGGATGTCCGGGGAAAAATTGGTAACAAACAAAGAAAGAACCAAGAACATAACACTGTACGAATCCTCTCATCAGGTGTTTGAGCTCCAAGTTCAAAAAAAAAAAAAAATTAGTAAAGAACTAAACGTAAAGTTCTCAATACACTAAGTAGAGCAAAAATAAAATAAAAAAATCCCTAAGGAGCCAGGCAAACGTACCTAAACGGATCTTCAGGGTAAAACTGGCTTTTAGTTTTTTTAATATATATATATATATATATATATATATATATATATATATATATATATATATATATATATATATATATATATATATATATATATATAATAAAGAAAGAAATAGCAGTAAGATATATAATCCGGTGTTCTTATTGATATTTTTATTTTTACAAAATAGTGATCAATGTAAATTTACAGAGTATTAATATTATAAATTAACTAGCTTAAAATATGTTTTTTTTCGCTACACAGTAATAACCATGTTTCAAAAATGGAAGCTAAAATCTTCAAATTTAGTTAACTTAAAAAATATCAGTTCCATTTCATCTTCAAGCGAATTTTGGAGTCTGTGTCTCATTCTCTATTCATATATATATATATATATATATATATATACATGAAGAGAAAAAGAGACACAGACACAAAGAGAGAGAGAGAGAGAGAGAGAGAGAGAGAGAGAGAGAAAGAGTTTCAAGATCCCTTAAATGGTAATTACTTGCGGAATTATATATGTCAGTATATGTAGCTATAAGGACAATATATGTATAGAAGAGTGAGTTTGTAAACAGTGACTATTACGGCTAATAATGCAAGACTCTTCGGTAAAGCGAATCGAATTCTTTCAATCACTGTGTGTTTATCCAAAAATAAATACGCTCAAATTCACCTTCATCCCTGCCGTGCGCCAACGGATTGGGGTAGAATCTCCGACTGACGCCAATTCCACCGGGTTTCGATCCTAGCTAGAGGCAAACCGGACGTCTAGTCACACTGATTATGCAGTGAAACACTCCGTCTGTGGATGACAATACATATATATATATATATATATATATATATATATATATGATTTTATCATATAGACAAAACCATTTTACTCACTACAAAGATGCAACATTGTTTCCGTGCATTTCAACTGCACTTCGACGGGTGAGAATCGAAAATGATTATGAACAATCCTATAATTATCGCTCTACTATCGAGCCCTCTTTTTGATTAATGTTGTACGGTGGAATTTATATATGACTTCGTTCTCATCAAACCGTATATATATATATATATATATATATATATATATATATATATATATAGAAATGCACAGAAATTATTTCTTAAACGTTATTTTTAATGGATATCCATATTTGAGTAGCTTTTCTTTTTATTTATTTACATCTAGCGGTTTTTGGTTTATACTGCAACCATGCTGAACAGAAC